ACCATTTTTACTGGAATTTTGATGCAATCATCCTCTTTCAATATCTTCATCTCCATCCAACTACCTTTGCAAATTTGTATCAAAGACAATAAAACTATTTGCTGAAAAAGTCTAACAAGTTAACTCATATGATTGGCTAATACCAAGTCCTGCATTTCCCATTAATACCCAGTCTCCAACACGGACAGACTTCACATCATCACCAACTGCCAACACTTCCCAACACCCTCATTACCACCAACTGCAGGGAGGGAAGGTTTGATGGGATACAATCCTAAAAAAAAGTGACGGACTATGAATTTCAAGGGGGGGAAGGCATGCATATAATGGTATCAATTGCACTCCCCACCTTGAAGCACATTCAGATCAGCTGGATTGACAGGTGAAGCCAACATTTTTAGAAAAACACTTTCTCTGTTGAATTCTGGTAGGGATAATCTTGTAGACTACAAAATCAAAGTAGAAATCAGTGGCAGATCCAGATGAGGGTTGCAGTATGTTCACAGACAGAGACAGCCTCTCCAGAACTTGGATAATTTATTGATAATTTCGTAGAAGCACTATTGCTAATGCGCAGTTAATATACACGAGTTTTTAAAATAGACATGTTTCGACATCTCATGATGCCATCTTCAGTATAAGTGAAATAATAAACAATACAAGGTTTATATAAAAGTAATATGATACATAAATTACAACAATAATAAGGAAATAAGATAAATTAATGGGAGCGTCCGAGCGTATTATAAAATAAATATTGTATTGAATTTAAAAACTTGAACATTGAGGTCAGGGTTAGTTTTGTTAATGTGGAGTGCTTCTTTATATTGATAATAAAATTGACATGCATGTGTAGGAGCTAGCACTAAATCTTTGCATGAATTGCCATGTGTAAAATCGTCGGCACTGACTACAGAACAACTCAACCACTTTCAAGGTAAAATTCACAGTTCACAGGAATATTTTTACCTGATAACCTTACTGGGTCGCCATATTCTGAATAAACTAAAGCTTTAGAAGACCGAGGTATACTTTCAGACGTGATCGAAAATGTCCTCGACAATTTTACAGCTTTGCTTGAAGTCAGAAACCTGAAGAGAACGCGTTCAGTCCAGTCTGCTATGGTCGTAGGCAGCGCCATTTTATATAATGGCATTCTGAAGGATGGGAAATAACGTCGTCGGACAACAATACCAAAACCTAATTTTAAATATTTACAATAAAAGTCACTTCAAGATTAATTTTAAGCTATGAATTTTTGGATGGCTTTGAAAAAGGAACATAATGGAAGGTATTTCAGAGTACATCTTCATCGGTATTAATTTTAATTCGAGGCTCGAACAACAGTACAATTACTACAATACTGAATGATATATATATAATTCTGAGTCTGAACTTCTACATTATAAGATAATTATAAGATTGGAAAATATTTCATGGTAAGCTAAAGCTCGCATATTAAAAAAGCTCATTTGAACCAAAAGCTCATATGAAGCAAAAGTTCGCATATTGCAATATAGCTCGTGTGAATCTTTAACTCGTATGGACCAACAGCTTGCATTCTTTGAGTAACAAGTGAAAAATTTTTCCGTATTATTTTTTAGACGAGGACGAACAAGATGGTCAGCAATCGTCAAAATGTTTGAATGAAACGGAGGAGGAAATGCCTCAAGAAACAGTTGAAGAAAACCAAAGAACAAGACAGCATTAGACTACATAGTACGCCATTGAACGTTGAAAGAGTGAGTAATGATTTTTTATATGGTTAAATGATGGAGTTGATTTGCAGTGTTGCACTCCCCTCGTCTTGTAAAGTACGGGCATGCGCTTAAAGAGGAGATGCCTAATTATGGTGTTGTTGATAGTGTAGACTCAGATTCAGAAAATTTTCAACAGGCAACAGCAGTTCTTCTGCAAGAAGGTATGAAGAAATTAATAGGTACATACATGCTGCTAAACACTCATAAATGCATCATAATTGCAGCATTTATCTAAATTATTTTCAAAAGAAACGAGTTGTAAATGATTTGATATAGTTTTGTTGTTTTAACTGGCAATATGCTCCTGCAGCACAATTTGGTCTCAATATGAACAAAGTTGAACATGCTTATTGTGATTTTTGCATGTTGTACTTATGTGTAGAAGTTGTGATATTGGTAAGCTTAGTCTAGCAAATACTTGCTGGGTTGTATTGCTACAATAATCATTTGACTGGTTTTCTATTTAAGAACAAAAGAAAACAGTCATTGAAGAGTATAGAGATGCTACAATTGTCAGTGACAGTCCAGTTTTTCAAGTTTATTTCAACCGCATGGCAAGTGACTTTGCCAATGACATTTTGGGAATTTACAAGAATCACAGTAGTAAGTTGTGTGCTCGGTTCATTGTAAAGTTTGAAAACGAAACTTCAGTTGGCAGTGGTCCCATGCAAGAATTTTTCAGCCTAGTAATGAAAATGATTCTTGATGGTTTTCCACTGGATGGTGAAAAAAGGCCCAAAACTTTTGTTTTGAGTAAATGACCATAAAGTTCCTGTAGCCAACTCACTTTTGAAGTACAGGCTTCTATAAGTGCATTGGAAGAATTATTGCACATTCTTTCCTACATGCTGGATCACCACTATTTGGAATTTCTAAAGTAGTTGTTGATTATTTGGTATGTGACAAAGATGAGACTCCTTTAATAGAAGTTGTGGATATACCTGACATTGACCCGAGGATTGCATTGAATGAGGTTTGAAAAGTTGTATTGCACCTGAGCATTTACTGCTTGCAAATGGTGCAATCCTACATCTCAAACTTGGC